GTACGTACCGTAACGTAACTACGTACGTACGTACGTACGTACGTACAGTACTACGTACTACGACGACACACACACACTCACACACGACACACACACACACACACACACACACACACACACACACACACACACACACACACACACACACACACACACACAACACGCATACACACGCACGCACGCACACACACGACACGCACGCACGCACGCACGCACGCACGCACACACACACACACACACACACATATATATATATACATAGAGAACAAAGAGAAATATATATAATATATTAAAAAAATATATTAAGTGGTATAAAAGTGCCATTACCAACCTAATCTCCCTCCCCCCCCCAAAAAAAAACTAAAGCTTCGCGTAGCTAAGTTGTTTCTGGGTATATGTCCGAATGCTGATGCGCATCCCACCCGTTAAATATTCAATAGGCCGCGTGCATATAAAACGATTCAAAATATCCCGAGGTGCGTTTTTATAGTAACGATAGAATTTTCTACGAACGATTACTGACAATGGTTTTGACTATACCTTTTACGTCGGCAGCTGCTGTACCTACGCGACGGGGTTGTGGGGGACGTAAACCCGTAAGCGCGCGCATATTCAGCGACGCACACGTATACAAAATAAAACCCCATTCATGCACGCGGCGACGAAAGTAAACGACTGCAAAATCATAGCTGTGTCGGCATTCATGCCGAGTGAATTGACGATATTGATCACGCATGTAAATGCTAAAGTTTACCTTCGAGGTTGTCGCATTCCTGGTAGAGATTGCTATAGCGCTCGTACACAATGTACCGTGCCACCGTGTCGCATCCCGAACGCGTTGTCGTCGCGGAAACACCGTCGTTGTCGTCGTCGGCGGCGGCGCACGGGGACCTGGCAGGCGACGTTCGTCGGCGACCGCTGGCACGCGGTTTGTCGGCGCGAGAGGTAGATGAGGCCGAAGACGGCGGAGGGCGTTCGTACACGTCGGCTGCCGCTAGCTGCAGGCGGGTCATGTCGCGATGACTCGTCGCATTGATGTCACCGCCGGTGAATGGTCCCCTCAGCGACGATGACGCAGTCGAGCTGCTGTTGCGCTGTATTACTGCCGCGGGGTCGGCCTGCGTCGGCGCGTTGTCGGTCGGACGACGCTGTCTCGAGCGTCGCTTGCGTCGGCCACCTCGTCGATTCTCGTCATCTCGCGACGGGGTATCTGACGCAATCGCCGACGCACCGCACGCGATCTGCTGTCGGCTGCGCGTCGTGTCGGGCCGTCTCGTCGCGTCCTTGCACGTTATCGCGTCGACGACGACGTAGGTGTCCGTGTCGACGGGCACGGCGACGCGCACCGTCTCCAGACTCTGTGCGCGCGCGACGACGCGCTCGACGTCGTAGCCGACGTACACCCAGTACGACGTGCACGTCGACGTCATCATCAACACGAGAAAGTTGCCGACGAACAGGAACGTGTTGAGAAAGTGCAGGATCTTGTCGATGCTGAACATGGCCAGTCGTCGTGCGAGGAGCATCGGAGCTGTGTGGGGCGCGGCGCGGCGCGGCTGGTTGCGACGGCGCGAGAGCGGCACGCGTTTGATCAGACGGCAGCGGTCTCCCGCGCGCGCATCCGTCCCCGCACGCGTCACGCCACCGTGCGCTGAAGCCAGCAGAGGCAGCAGCAGCGGCGGCGGCTGGATGCGCCTGCTCGATAGCTCTCCTACTGAGCGAGAGAAGCAGACAGAGATATATATCGGCACATATCGCACTCCTGCGGGCCGCGATGCTGCGCGGCTGCGTGCGCGCGCGCGTGTGTGTATTCAGCGCACGTTATATAGCGTCACTGCTGAAAAACGAAGGCGGGCGAGAGCAACGCAATTATAATCTACGAGCACGAGCCTGTCTACACGCCAAACGGCTAAGCCGGTTATCCCAAAGGGCCTGTTCCACCCTGGCCGCTCTGTTTCCTCTGAGTAACAAAGCTGTGCGCGGGGTATGCATGCAATGCGCAATACGTCAATGATAATGCGTTTTCGTGCACAAAGAGACACCCATAGCGACACGTAGCAAGCATTAAATATGCACGCGGGCATCTGTGCACGTACAAAAGAAGGCCCGCGAATACGTAAATTATTAAGAATCTATGTAACTACCAGCAGAGTTCAACGCGAGACTAGCGATACTGTTTACCGGATGAATCATTGGGCAGGTAGCGTCACAAGTGCCATTTTATAGCTCAAGACACTTGTTTTGCGTGTTCGCGCGTGTGGTAGCTGGGTGCGAGCGGTCAACTAAGGCTGTAGCTCGATACACCTACTTTTACATAGGGATAGAATGACATTGTATAATTTCTGAGATTGACGCTTAAATTTATAGTGAAATTGTCAAATCCCTATCTCTCAGATCAACATCTAGGCCTATATATAGAATATGCGATCGAGGCAGATAAACAAATGCCGATCGTATATTTCTCACAAATTTTCTGCCCCAGAGTAATAACATTTCTGCCTTGATCAAAGCTGACATTACCGCTGCTTCTCGTGTGTCCCAATTACCTATTAGCGTAGTGAATAATATTACTGTTAGGGGAATCGTGGAGCATGCTACTCAATTTAGGTAGAATAAATTAACCGTGCTCAATTCATACTACCAAGAGCTAATAAATACCTAATAAAATTGTATTTATTAGCTCTTAATACTACTGCTGCATGGACATGATATGCTCTTCTTATTTAAATTTAAATTGCTTTATATAGAGGCTTTTTAAATCTTGCGAAAATCCCTGAAAAACTTGACAACCCTGCTTTATGTATAGAGCAAAATCGAGTGGATTGACCAGGTTTTGGCGTATAAAGAAAAACTCAGTAGATGAGGTGAGCAACTGCCTCGAAATCTGTAAATTATATTACGATTAATTTGCGTGCGACCGAGCGTTCGTGTGAAACTGCGTGCGTGCATGTACGCATGTTTTATATTGTGTGCATATGTTGTCTGTTCCAGTAACGAAAGTGTAGAGGGCGGCAGTGCACCCATACAAATAGATATATACGTATTATATATCTATTTCTATGGGTGCGCATGCGGTTGGCATACCACTCACAGTTTGGTGCGGATGGCGTTGTTTCTTACCATGTCAATATTAGGAACTAGTCCAATGTGTCTACAACGTCAGTGACGCAGTTGCATGGATTTTCAATCTATACTAAAAAAAGGAACAGCCCATTTTTTGTTAGCTATGTTCTCTGAATCTGCTCGCAGGATTTGAAATTGCTTGACTGTAAACGATGCATTACTACTCATAGAGTAATATTGGCGCACTTTTGCAATGATCAAAACACGATAAAGTTGAATTTGAAGCCGTTTTATTTAACACTGGTGTACCGATACCATACCGCTGTTTCGATCGACGTCACTACTCACTACCATTAACAAATGTAGTAAGCGTCGTTGCCAGCTTGCGCTGTGGCGCAGTGGTAGCACCCTTGCATAATACGTTAGGGGTCGGGAGTTCGAAACTCGACAGCCGCGGAATTGAAAAAATATATATTTCACGGCAGGTGCGCAACTCCTTTCTGTCATCCTAAATATATGCATATTTAAAATATATACTATAAAAGGCAAACAGCGAATTTTTATTAGCTAAGTTGTTTTTAAGTTAAGGAATTCCCCTTATGAAATTCCCTGGGATATCCCAAAATCCATAATGAGGCTCTTCGCCACACAGCCGGACAGACACACTATATATTTATGTGTCAGTGTGGCAGATGGGGTCGTTGTCGTATCAGGTACTACAGATATGTACCCAAGGTAGTTTTAGGTTGTTTAGTATTATGTTTATATTTTTATATGAGGTATGTTTAGGGTTAGGGTTAGGGTTAGGGCTAGGGTTAGGGTTAGGGCTAGGGTTAGGGTTAGGGTTAGGGTACAATTATGTAGTATGTAGTCTGGTACACTTTGTGTATACATATATGTACCTCGGGTACATATCTGTAGTACCTGATACGACAACGACCCCTTCAGCGTCAGTGTGCAGCGGCAGCCAGCGTTTGCAGCTGAGCGTTTGCAGCTGAGCGTTTGCAGCGTTGCAGATGAGCATTGCACGAACTTGTCGGCAATAACAGGTCAAAGACAGTATAGAAACATTAACACTTTGGTAGTAAATAGATTTCGTATTTATTTAGCATTATATTTTATTGAAACGCTCCAAGTGCATGTGCTTCACCACAATGTGCTCACCACATCTTCACGTTCGGTGGAGTTTGACGCCGAAAACTTTTTTGGACGTGTCTGTCGCATAACCGTAAACAGGATTTTGTTTTATTTTATGCCTTAAGTCTCCACGGTGATTTAAATACTCCTCACAGCTCATTGTCATTCATGTGAATATATCCGCATTCTGTAGATGTACTTCTGATGCAAAATAAACATTGTTTTCTTACAATAACCACCTATACCCATACCACTCATCCCTTCAACATCAGATCTTCCATTTCAATTTAAAAGACTGCAATTCCCTATCCGCCTTTGCTATGCTATGACAATAAACAAAGCCCAAGGACAGACTTTCACTACCATAGGCTTGGACCTCACCGCACCTGTCTTCTCTCAGTGCATGCTCTATGTTGCCCTCTCACGAGTAGGCAAACCCACGGCGATGTTCATTCACACACAGGACAGGAAGACCAAAAACATAGTTTACAAAGAAGCCCTTCATTCTTAGGTGAGCTACAACACTAATACACTCATTCATGAATTCCCACCGTCCGAAGGACGGATACTTTGCTAGTTAGTTATATATTACTAGTCTATATTATTCCAGATAATATATCCCTTTACTTGGCGCTACTACTGTAGCCATTTTCATCAGAATTCGCCGCGAGAACGGTAACATCAATAGCTAATATATAAAACCTATTATTAGCGCTTGATAACATCGGTAACACGATTGCAAACTGGACCCGGTTCCACAGTCGTGGATTAACTCTTAACTCTGAGTTAAATTCCGTTCCACAGTCGTGGATTAACTCTTAACTCTGAGTTAAAAGTTAACTCAGAGTTAAATTCCGTTCCACAGTCGTGGAACTTTAACTCTGAGTTAAATATGCCTAACTCTGAGTTAAATATGCCTAACTCTGAGTTAAAATTTAACTCTGGTATGAACCTAGATTAAAGTCTTAACTCAGAGTTAAAAATGAATGAATTCTATCTATTCAATGCGCCTGTCCCTGAAAAAGAAAAGCAATATCGCAGACACGATGATCACTTCAATGTCATGACTGACCGAGAATTGTATGCCAGATACAGGTTTTCTCAGCAGGGTATTGACAGGTTGTTCGGACTTATTGGCGATAAGTTGCCGAAGATAAACTTGCAGAGAGTAACTGGGTACTGTTAATGGCTCTTCGCTTTTTTTGTGAGTGGTGCCTTTCAGCAGGTGATAGGAGACAGTTTCTGCGTAACTAAGTCTAAAGTGTGTCGAGCTATGGGAGCTATTGCAGCAGTTATACTGATGCACGCGTAGCGCAGATAAGGTCTATGTCCCCCTGACCTCTGTTTGACCTGGCTCGTTTAGCTATTTCAGACCAATATATATATATATCAGGAGTTAATAAAAGACAACAAGTCTCCTGACTTTGTCTTTTATTAACTCCTGATATATTAATATATATATATATATATATATAATATATATAATATAATATATATATACTAGGGTTAGGGTTAGGGTTAGGGTTAGGGTTAGTCAGAAATAGCTAAACGAGCCAGGGTCAAACAGAGGTCAGGGGGACATAGACCCTACGAGCACGCGTAGCGCTGATAGCGTCTATGTCCCCCAGGGTACTGCCGGAACGTACCTCTGGGTACGGTCCGGTATACCGGAACGTACCCTGGTACTAAATACTATATCTAATATGCCGGACCGTACCTCGCCTACTCCACTAACGAGTCTAGGGAGTCGCCTACGCCTACTCCCTAACTATAACCCTAACCCTAACCATATCAGCTAGATAGTTACCAGGGTACGGTCCGGCAGTACCCTGGGGGACATAGACCCTATTATATGAGCACTATTACATAGCACTATATTACATAGACCCTATATTATATGAGCACTAGTATCACTATAAGGCCGGTTCATCAAATGACCGACAAATCAAGAGAAAGCAGCAATGTATAAAGCTAACTTCCATAGCATCGTCGGTTTCCCTGGTGTAATCGTTGTGTCGACTGCACGCATGTACGATTCAAGGGCCGCGTAAAGCAGTTGAAGGGACTATGTTAACCGTAAAGGTTACCATTCATTAATACACAAGCCAATGGATAGTGAATTCAGACGGTATAAGATTTTCATAAGAATCTGCATAATTTATTCATAAGAAACAAGTTACATTAGATTTATTTATAGTTAGTCTTCGGTATCATTCTTTAGACTTTGAAGACTAGTTCCTACGAGGTTAGTTTAGCTCTAGGATACTAATACTAGAGCTAATTAGTTTATCTAGTACTGCCGCAGATAAGGTCTATGTCTCCCTGAACCTGTTTGACCTGGTTCGTTCAGATTTTCTGACTAACCCTAACCCTCGCAACTATCTGATATGGTTAGGGTTAGGGTTAGGGTTAGTCAGAAAGATCTGTCCATGTCAAACAGAGGTCAGGGAGACATAGACCCTACGGGCAGTACTGCCCCGTGTCCGAATCATCCCGCGCTGGAATATACGGTGTTTGTTTGTTTGTTGTTTGTTGGCTAGATATTCTTTATTTGTTTTCTTTTTCTTCTGATTCATTGACAGGACTTGAAGGAAATCAAAATTTTACATGGTACAAAAACTAGCTTTGATATCTGAAAAAGAAGGGAAGTGCTTGAATCATTCTGCATTAATTGCTAGTATGCAAAGCGCAGGCAAAATAAAGCAGAAATAAAATTCCAATTTTAGTTTTTATATAGTTTTTAGCTATTGCTGCTTGACTAAATGTGTGCTCAAATGGTGCTCATTTTGCGCCCAGGGACCCTTGAAATTTTTAAATTTCCTGGGGGAGGCCCCCAGACCCCCCGCCATGTGCTTCGCGCTTAACGGCGCTCACTGTGGGGTGGTGTGCCCTTTTTTGGGGATGTGCCCTTAAAAAACTCTCTAGCCTCAGCCCTGGATGGTTAGGATTAGGGTTATGGTTAGGGTTCGGCTTAGGGTTAGGGAGTAGGCGTAGGCGACTCCCTAGACTCGTTAGTGGAGTAGGCGAGGTACGGTCCGGCATATTAGATAGTACCAGGGTACGTTCCGGCAGTACCCCGGGGGACATAGACCCTCTCAGCGTTACTGCGGTAGCCGCAGCTGTTATAGCGTCGTGCTAATGACGCGAACGTCCCGGGTTCCCCACATTGGCTAAAATATTTTTCTTCATTTATTTATCGCTGCGGGTTCCCGTAGATAAATTTCTATATTTATTACGAACCCGGCTGCCGGGTATATAATAACTCAATAACATCAATAACAATAAGTCAATAACATCAAATTGTTTACACTTTCAGATTTGTTTCTCAATTTGGTTGCCAGATGGCCAGGCAGTGTCCACGACAGCTTTATAATTCAGACAGAACCTCAAAATCTTGGACGGTAAATTTTAATCTTACATGATTTGTTACATGAATTTACTGAAATTTTGTTAGATGTTAGGCGTCGGGTCGCTGCCCCTACAGTGTGTCCTGACCTTTACTCAACAACGGTCCGTAGTCAACTTGCCTCGCCGCGCATTATTATAGTTAATACACTTTCCTACTGCCCATAGCCACGCGTATATTAGCCTATGATGATACCGCGCGTATATTTTTGGTAATTAATTAAACTATTCGTACTTCAACATACTCAAAATTCACAGAAACCGATCTCCAGGAGGGTCAACTCGACCCACGAGCCATACTCCATACGCCATACTCGGTTTATTACAGGGCGTGCGCATATGCGCCCTAATATCAGGGGCGTGTACAGGGGTGGTCCAGGGGGTCCGGACCGCCCCCCCTCGTTCGTCAGAAAACGCATCTAAGGGGGGTCTAATTTCAAAAAAATTCTGGGGAGGGCCAACCTCTTTGCGTGCTCGCAAGTTTGGGTTACGGTTAGACCCCCCCCCCCTGGTACAAATCCTGTACACGCCCCTGAATATGAGGACATACACGTGTATACATATTCTTTACTTGCAGTGCATTGGAAGATGACCCCAGATCTGGGGGTATTGAAGGAGGCCTCCTGTTAGGTAACAGTGGCTATGCCTTAAGTAGATTTTTGGTAACACCATATGCAGCTCCAGCCAATGAAAGACGACTACAGTCCTATAGACCGAAGGTCCGATAGACCGAAGGCCCGATAGACCGAAGGTTTATTCGAATACGCAGTGGTTACACGTCCGGAATCGGTCGCCTAGCCTCCAGGCTACGCATCCGGACATCCACTGATGCCGTATTCGGACGTGAATATGCCGCACATCCACCGATGCCACTATAAAACATATGATGCCACTATAAACCATATATATGCCCTAACTCTAACCCTATAACCCTAAACCCTAACTCTAACGCTAACCTTACCCTAGCCCTAACCCTAACCCAAACTCTAACCCTAACCCTTTGCAATATTCGGTCTATCAGACCTTCGGTCTATCGGACCTTCGGTCTATCGGACCTTCGATCTATAGGGCTGCCCCCATGAAGGACAATAAAGGTAATTTTCAAAAGATATTTTGTCAGTTCTATTTGAGATTCTGCATGTGCAGTTATTATAGTTTTTACTTGCTTTCATCATTATGACAAATTATCGTATATATGCTAATGGTTAAATCGCAACTCAATAATAACTAAACAGAGGGCACTCAAAGAGAGTGCATACCTCCGCGAGCGTGTAACATGTATACATGTGTATAACAGCTGGCTCGCTGCTGGCTGCTGCTGACTGACACCTAAGGCGAGCTGCTGCTGACTGGATCCCTAAGGCAAGCTGCTGCTGACTGGATGCCTTAAGGCGAGCTGGTGCTGAATCGATCGCGCCAACGCGTGTAACATGTATACAGTGTATAACATGTATACAGTGTATAACAGCTGGCTCGCTGCTGGCTACACACACACACGAACACAACACACACGAACACACACAGCGAACACACACGAACACACACACGAACACACACACGAACACACACACGAAGTGATCACAGGGAGGTAATAACAATGTAACAATAAGTTAATAACATCAATAGCGATAACAATAACTCAATAACATCAATAACAATAACAATACGTCAATAACATCAATAGTGATAACAATAACTCAATAACATCAATAACAATAGCAATAAGTCAATAACATCGATATCAATAACAATGACAATAATGTCTATGTGCATACAAAGAGAAGCCTCATAGACTTAAAGATTAATGTTGTTCTACGCTAGCAAAAAATAACTATACTATTATAAATACTAATATATATATAATATACATGAATACTATAAATATAATAATAGCAACCTAATTCCATTCTGTGTACATGCATAGTTTTTATGCATTGCAGGTTCAATGATGCTCACGCTATAACAAGAAGTGTTGTAGAACGCGAATTTGGCTGGCTGAAAAGACGGTTTCACTGCCTTCATGGTGAATGAACAACCTGCGTGTAATTACAGCCTGTGTTGTTCTCCACAATTTTGCCATAATGATTCGAGATTGGCAAGATGGGGAACACCCCATGGAGGAAGATGGAGACGATGACGATAATAATGACGATGGTAATGAAGACGATTGATCTACCACCACGTGTCCAACCTCAGCGGCAACAAGGCCTCTTTGTCCGGAATTATCTGACTACTAATTACAATTTCGTAAGCATATACAAATAGTGTTTTCACAGTATTTCGAATTTAAATTCAATTTATCACAGACAAATAATTTAACAGCTAATGGCTTACTGGGTGAGCTGGCATCGGGTTTGAAGCATCTCTAGATGGATTAAACCACAGCAATGAAACATAACATAACCGCAGCAATGAGCAATCATTAATCTTATGACATGTTTCTGTTTTCCTGTGCTAATACCATACTGATTAACCTTTTTTTCAGAAACAGAAGCAGAGGCGACGTCAGCATTTAGTTAATTGAAAGCATTGTTTCTACTAGACTTGACCAACAGCTGTTATAATCTTCTTCAGTGACACACCAAAGAATTTCATTGGCGATAACCATGAAGGCACTTGTCTGTTATGAACATTTACTGTATTACTGTATTATAATGTTATTATTATTATTATGTATTATCATTTATATTAACATATATAATTAATATATTATATTTATTATTATTATATATTTAATATATAAATAAATAAATATATATTATTATATATTACTGTGTATAATTATATATATATTATTATGTCTATGTATACACAATCAGCAGTAGAATTCATCAAAATGAAAAAAATGAAAATTGGAAGTTGAATAAAGGTATTTTGAGAAATGTCAACATTAACTACTACTATAAAACTAACACTACTACACTTCAAGTGATACAACTACTCCTTAATCACTGCTCACTCTCCAATTTGGCAACCCTGAGTTCCAATTCTCTTAATTGCAGTTGTTGACGTTTCTCAAAATACTTTAATTCAACTTCTAATTTTCATTTTTTCATTTTCATGATGTCTACTTGGACGTGAACTAGGTCTTGCTGTGTATAACGCCTTTTTGTATCTGTAGTTTTTTCCTTTGCTGCTGGTCTGGTTGGTGGGGGTAGTTCTGGTGCATTTTCTGCCTCGGCTGGCAACTCGAAATATAGATGATCTTCTAATGGGATTTCATATACCTCTCCATTATATGTGAAGTATTCGCCATCTTCTCCTTTTGCATCTGAAGCATAGAGTTTTTATTGATAAAGTCAGAAAAAAACAAATTCTATTTCTAGTTCGACTATTTCACATCATAGGACTTTAAAGGTAACTTCGAAGGTAACTTGTCGCTAGATAGGCATATGTGCCTCAGCTGTTTCATGAGATTTTTGTCACATGTTGTCCGGCATTTTACAAACCTTATATAAACCTCAATAACACAGGGACAATTATTTACCCATTTATTCAATAGTATATATACGGTATATACTATCAGGAGATACTATATATGTATTGATGTTATTGACTTATTATTATTGTTATTGATGTTCTTGAGTTATTGTTATCGCTATTGATGTTATTTACTTATTGTTATTATTATTGAGTTGTGATATTTAACCATTAGCATATACGATTTTACAGTATTAATATTCTAATGATTTAGTCGCCTGCCTATTAAAGCTCGGATAGCAGATAGATTTTTCGACCGTTCAATTACGTGCGCACAATTAAAAACAATTTCATACGACGTATTCAATTGCAATTTTATGTGGTATAACATTAATTTTACTCTTAGTGCTTTTGGACTGGTGTAATAAGTAAAATATCTTCTATCAGGTAAGACTATATTTAGCTACATTTTTCCCCGATTCAGTGTTAGTATGCTATTTAATATGCTACATAATTTTTGGTGCGGCATCTTCAATATTAGCAAAAACAAATCAAACTGGGCTTATAACCGCACACACGGAGTGTAATGTAACCACACATTGAGTATAATGTAATTTAATTACTGCACACTGAGTATTACTGTACTATAATGTAACCGCATACATTAGCACGTAGTCACAGGCACTTGGAACATCTCAATAAAAAAAATAATGGTAAATATACACGAAATGTATTTACTACCAAAGTCTTAATGTTTCTCTACTCTATTTCGGGCTAACGCTCCACTAGGAGTGTTCCCAACTTTGATATCATTAATGATTAATAATTAATGAATAATGATTGATAATCCTAACCCTAACCCTAACCCTAACCCTCACCTAAATGACATTAAACCACAAACTAATATTGACCATATATTATATATATCTACGGAGTAGTAATAGACGCGTGCGTAGTACGTGCGGTGCTACCGCGTCGTACGTGCGTTGTACTCCGTGTACCCTCGTGTACGTCGCGTTGTAATCTGGTGTTTATGTGGGTGTGACGGATATGAAAGATAGAGGTCAAAACAGGCGTACTAGAATTTGGGAATAGCCTCTTACCCTTACGTGGGAAAGACAATAGTCTCGCGGCGCGTGTGGATTCTGGATAGCATTATTCGCATTCCGCCATGTTGTTTTTGGGTAATTAAAACCCTTTCGTTCGGGACTTCGTCGTCTGAATTCTTTTATTACGCATTCTCCATCCTTTCAGGCTCGACTACTCAACCCGGGTTACATTTGGGGGCACGTCCGGGATAAAGCTTCACAAAACGTGTCAAGATGTCGACGCAAGTGTCCATCAATCTAGACTTGAGGAGTTAATTGATGTATTGACTAGTCCCCAGGTTTTGGCATTCCCGGATTTTGAGAGTTCCTTTGTCCTTCATACTGATGCATCTCAGGAAGGTTTGGCAGCCATTCTGTATCAGAAACGAGATAACAAACTGGCGGTCATTGCTTTTGGTTCACGTACCTTGACACCGGCGGAGAAAAATTACCACTTACATTCTGGTAAACTGGAATTCTTGGCACTAAAATGGGCCGTTTGCGACAGGTTTAGGGACTATTTGTACTATGCGTCCCACACTGACGTGTACACGGACAATAACCCCCTGACCTATGTGTTGACCTCTGCCAAACTAGACGCTACACGACAGAGATGGGTGGCCGAATTGGCTGACTTTAATCTAAACTTGTTTTACAAGCCAGGATCGGAGAACACAGATGCCGATGCCCTATCGAGGTTGCCATTGAATGTGGAGGACTACATCCAACGCTGCACCAGGAACGCAGATCAAGAACAAGTGAGAGCCATGATGGGTGGACCGGGTATCGCTGACCTGGTCGGAGTAAGTTGTCAATTCCAGGCAGTGAACGAAGAAACCGAGATGGCTATGGCGCCAATCAAGATCTTGGACAAAGATGACATCAAGAGGGCTCAGGATGTGGATCCAAACCTGAAGAAAGTCAAGGAATGGTGCATAGGAGGCACCAAACCTACAGTGAAACAACTGAGACAGGAGGCGCCACTCGTCCGAATATGGTTGCGTGATTGGAGCCGACTAGAAATGGATGAGGATGGGATCTTGCATCGCAAGTGTACCTTGGCAGATGGATCCAGGGTCACCCAGTTATGTATTCCACCGGGATATCGGAAGTTAGTCCTGCAGGAATTACATGAGAAGATGGGACACCCTGGTACGGAGAGAGTTATCAGTTTGGTTCGAGATCGGTTTCACTGGCCTGGGATGGCACGGGATGTTACACACTATGTGACCAAAGTCTGTAAATGTTTGAAAGACAAACCACCACACATAAAACGCAGGGCTGAACTGAAACCAATCCAGGCTACTTCTCCGATGGAACTAGTCAGTATAGATTTTCTTCACCTAGAGAAATCCAAGGGAGGACATGAATACCTACTGGTAGTGATTGATCACTTTACTCGTTTTGCCCAAGCATATCCCACGCGGAACAAGGCTGGGAAGACTGCAGCGGACCGTATTTTCAATGACTTCATTCCAAGGTTCGGGTTTCCTGCCAGGATTCACCACGACCAAGGTAGAGAGTTCGAAAACACATTGTTCGCCAGGCTAGAACAGAAGTGTGGAGTGGCTCACTCCAGGACCACACCCTATCACCCTGAAGGGAACGGGAAGTGCGAGAGAATGAATCGCACCTTGTTAGGAATGCTCCGAACTTTAGATGGGAAACAGAAAGCAGACTGGAAGGCTCAGGTTAACCGTCTGGTTCTTGCATACAATTGCACTAGGCATGAGGCTACCGGATTCTCACCGTTTCGGTTACTGTACAATCGTTCGCCGAGATTACCTGTTGATTTGTTATTTGGCTTGGACTGCCGGGGCCGAGGGACCGCAGAACAGTGGTTGGAAGGAATGCAGGAGGCATATCGGATGGCACAAGAAAAGGCTTCAAAGGCCGCCGACAAGTCCAAAAGACAATATGACAAGGGATTTAGGAGTTCGACATTGAAGACTGGAGACAGGGTTCTGGTACGTAATTTGACTGAGCGGGGAGGACCAGGAAAACTAAGATCCTACTGGGAAGAGAAGATTCATGTAGTAACGAGGAGGATCTCGGAGGATGCCCCAGTTTACGAAGTCCAGCCTGAAAGTGGGCTTGGGCGCATTCGTGTTCTTCATAGGAACATGTTGTTCCAGTGTGATGAGTTACCAGTGGACAAGGTTGGAAAGACGGAGGGTAAAACACAGAAACGTCGGACCAGGAGGGAGCTAGATGGTAATCGCTCCGCACAAAGACCGAGGTCAGCCAGACGGGTGTTGGACAGTGACTCATCCAGTGAGGCCACAGAGATTTGGTTCCGTCCACAACCTAGGACAGAAGTCAGGCCGAGGACAGAGATCAGCTCCGAGATGGCAGTCGGCCAAGAGACGGAACTTGTCCAAGACAGGCCGGAGACGGAACAGGCAGAAGAGGCTCTAGGCGTCACTCCTGAGGTGTCACAC